GAAGCAATTCAGACAATGAAGTAGTATTGAATGAATGTAAGTGGTGATAGAGGTGTGTGTGAAATCAGAGTACACACAGTGATCCAATTTGCAATACTATTCCTTCTCCCAGGAGTCCAGAGCAGCCATATCATCATGCTTGGAATTGCCTAGCCCATGTCCCCAATAAAAAGCAGTAGCTATTCCTTCCAACACAAACAGTCTCTGAAAAGAGGTTATGGTGACAGATTACAAGAGCAAGAGAATTGTCCCCCATGTCCTGTTTGAAAAGAGGCCCACTCAAGTTACTGGCAGGGTTCTAATAAATACATCAGGGCAAGCTATATGTCATATTTCTCCACCACTGATTCTACAAGGAACCTGAACCTCAACTGCAATTCTGAGATGTTCTATTGTCAGAGGTTCTGGAAGCTGAAGACAAAAATAACTGGAGAGCCAAAGTTTGAATGGCGAACCACGTATGCACTGGTTTAGTCTTTAGAGGGTTAGGGAATACTGAAAACAATAGACTGCTCTTAGCATTAAGCTTCACTAGGTGATCACAGGGCCTCTCCGCACATACCTATATCTCAAAATATCAAGGCAAAAATTGCACAAGATCTGCTTTGAACTGGGTTATCTGAGTCCACACTACCATATATCCCAGTTTAAAGCAGTAAATGTGGAATTTTATTCAGCTGTATGGAAGGGGCCTCAGGGTGAGAGATGATAAAAAAAATCCTTCTTTGTTTTTTTTTCCCCCCAACAGCAAATGTAATTTTATATATTATAACATGCTCCCTTATATTTTGCCTTGAATGGCACTCCATTTTCCATAAATATTTTGGGTTTCTGGGTGTTTTTTTAAGTGTTATTTAGAAATATCCTTAAACATTTTTACTTGATCTGAAGGCTATTAACACATTAGAAAGATGACATTGTGTGTAGCTTATATCTTCCAATTAGACTTACATCCTACAGGCAACGTATTTTCCTGGCTGTATCTGAAATTTTGTACCATTCAGAATCATGTTTGGTGGCACACATTTAAATCAAATAATGTTTGAATATGAAGATTCTCTAATTTTATTTTAATTTATATTGCTTTTTATTTATCTATTTCATGAAGGCAGAACATGATTTAAATAATTGATCTGTGCACCTTGCCTTTCTCAATCTGTCTTTTGGCTGTTTTCAAATTTTAAAAATCATATTTGGAAATTTACATTTACGTGTGCAATTTTCAATTGATATTGAATATACTGCTGGAAGGTGGTGGAAACCATATCCTTTCACTTTCTTCCCCTTTGCTTCCAGTCCAAATTTTGATTCATATAATAATCTTGCACAAGTGAGGACTCATGCCACTGCTATCCTACTCTCGATTTATAATAATGGGAACAATTTACCAAAGGATCCCAAAACCTATAAACTTCAATACATCCCATTATAGATCATTAAAATATTATCCATCAACAACCCAATCTGAAAACCTAGTTACTAAGCAAACACTGTCTGAAGAGATTAGATCACACTGCACATCAGCTTTTCAGAGTGGCACAGCTGTCCATCTCTCTCCATGACACATTTGTAATTAGCACCTTGCCTTAGGGGAATGTGAATTTCATATAATTCTCTTGCGGCAATCAGTGACCCGTCCTAAGCAGGGTTGATTGGTGTTATTAGATAACATCTGTGTGAGAACATATTATTGTGGGATGAGATGAAATCTTATTTCCTTCAGCATGGCTGATAACTGCCTTTGTAAGCCTCTTTCTTGACAATAGGAAAAGTGAACTGCTAGACACCCAGCTATACATGCTTCTGAAGGCACAGCATAATATTCTCTCCTGTGACAAGAAAACCAAAACCTATTGAAGCATTCTAGTTTTTTTAATGAAAATGAAACCAGCTCTGTGAAAAAAACAGGTGTGGACCTGGGAATAAAGCAATTGGTTAAACCTTGATTAACACCACTGTTCCTTTTACTTGTTTTTGTTCTATGTTGCCTATAAAATGTTATAATATCACAAACCATATCAAGATTACTCCACACATACTTCAATTTGATAACCATCAGAAGAGAAACAACCTTTGTTATGTGGTTAAATTGAAAAGGACACCTGAGTTAACCCTAGACAGTAGACAGTGCATCTCCAAAATCTGGTGCCCTTGTTCTGAAATTGTTTTATTGTTCTCATCTTTTATTATGAGTTCTGCACTTCTTCAGAATGCAAAATAAATGATTGAGATACACCACAAATGTCCCATCTGTGTTCATAACTTCTCACTTTACTGACAGGCTAGGAGAATAGTGGATGCTCAGAATTCTCCAAAATGGCCCATCTACAGTGCTGTAACAATAATACTTTCTCTCTGTTCATCTCTGCTTTTCTTCTTTGTTTATTACCACTTACAAAAACCATCCAGCTAGTAAGCTATTTATATAAACAGTGAAACACTGAGGAGCTATATAGAGACAGTGGGCTCACAATTGTAGTGTCAAAATGTGCATATCAGGCCTTAATGTTTTATGGATCTTATTCTATTACAAATCTTTCAGCAGGGTTTGGTTAGAAATCTAAACAAACCCAGACATGCAACAAATGTTAAATCCATTCCCAAAAAAATAAAGAAGGCATTTACATTCCATTATTGAGAAAGCAGACAATTGCATGTAATGGAACATAGGAAATAGCTGTTGCAGATTAATGTGTTTTGCCCAAAAATAGCTGCTAAATTTTGGAAAAGAGCCAAAGTCAATTTAGTGATTTACATATGGACCAAGATTCAATGCTGTAAATCTGCAACCAGTGTCAGAACAGTTGAGAGACACATCTACAGCTCCTCCATTTTTAGGCCCCTTCCACACAGCTGAATAAAATCCCACATTTCTTGCTTTGAACTGGAATATATGGCAGTGTAGACTCAGATAAACCAGTTCAAGGCTGATATTGTGGGATTTTCTGTCTTGATATTCTGTGTTATATGGCTGTGTGGAAGGGCCCATAGTGAAACTCTCAGTACTATCAAAACACTACTCCAAAGGGTTTCTTTTGAAGGAAGTTTTTAAGGGTGCTCTAGGTAAAAGACATCATTGCTAATTCTGGCAGAAACAGTGGGAATCCAGAGGAAGTATACCACTAGATCTTGGCTTCTGTCTTGAGCAAATAATAGTACAACTACTAGAGCATTATTAAATCCATATTACATTTTCCAAAATGAAAATGATCCCTTTCATTTATTCATTGCCCATGCACAGAAAATGCAGCAAATCCCACAGGCATGAAGGGCATCCGAACACTATAAATAGAAAAATCATAACTTTAAAGCAATATTCATCTCATAAAGCTGCTTATGATTGGAACTTGTGTCAAGAGCAGGAAACATGGAAAGTAGAAAATATAATACATAACATTATTAAACCTTTGTAATGCCAATGTTACTCTTTTATATGTCTAACATCAAAGCACTTAATTTTCTTCATTTCTATTAAATCAAAATTAATGACTTACATGACTGGCATAATTTATATGGGAGATTACTACAATGACCTTTGCATTAAAATCTGGTTTTATTAATAAAACACATTCTTTCTGTGGCAACATACTAAAGTGTTACTTGACACTGTTGATTGTGGAGTGGGAGTTTATTCTAACAGAGATTCTGCCAAACCCTTTGACAATAAAACCACCCGATAACTGAAGATCTAATTCTGTCCATTTGCACTGAAAAAGATTAATATTTTTCCTTAAATGGAAATAGAGAGCTTTCTTTGTAGTTATAAATGACTAACTTTGCATAATTTGGAGCTTGGACTTTCATTTCATTTCATTTTCATTTTCATTTTCATTTCATTTTATTTGAACAATTCATAAAGTGCCTATAAACAGTATGAACCACAGTAATATAAGCAGTAAAACTGGATTATGATATAAACAACAGCTTTATTGAATCACATGCTAAGTTAAATTTAAAAAACCATTTTGGGGCTATTAAAGGTAGATACAGATAGGGCCTCCAATGCTTGTCTGAAAGGGCAGATAAGATGATATCTAAAAATTGATACTTGAAGGACTCTATATCCAAACCAATGAGAGTTGTAAAGGCCACTCTAACATTTGAATGTTGTTTAGAAATAAGTTAACACATGATAAGTAGAAGCATGATACTATTAGGTACTATATTGTATATATGTATATTGGTATACATGATAAGTACGTGAACCAGCTGTCAAGAACCTAGCAGAATTTGAGCAGATATATGTTGTTCTTGTTAAAGTTTCTGCTGATTCCTTAGAGAAGGGGTCTCCAAACTAAGGCCTGTGGGCCAAATGCAGCCCTCCAAAATATTTTACCCAGCTCTTACCCTAAACTTTAGACTTAGGATCATACTAAGGCTGATACAACTTGAAGGCACACAACAACAACAATCCAAATTAACTTGATTATCTCATTATCCAAAAGCAGATGCACACTTCCCATTGAAGTACTGATAACTCTTTATGTTAGTTAAAATTATCATTCATTTTAAATATTGCATTTTTCATGCTTTTTTGCATTACAAATAAGAAATGTGCGGTGTGCATAGGAATTCATTCATGTCTTTTTCAAACTATATATTTAAAACATTTGAGGACCCTTGCTTTTCAGGTAGACTAACATGACAGCAAAACATGGTTCCGAAGCATTGACAGCTCCAGAATAAAAATGCCCCACAAATGTTGTTGATCCCTCAGACCAGTTCTGATAAAATTAGATACTAAGGAGAAGGGTCACAGGAAGAGATGGACAGATAAAGCCTTTCCTTTCCATCACCCTGATGTATCACAGATACCATGGACCACCTCAAGCTATGGAGAGGAAAACAAAATCATATTTTCTTTCTTTCTTGATGTCTATTACCTAGATGCTGATAAGTAAATGGAAAGTTGAGTTGTGGCATGAAGGGATGATGGAGTTGGAGACTGGAGGCTGGAATTCTTTGCTAGCTCAAAAGCACCAGAGAAAAACAATACTCACCAGCTTGATTTGTTGTGATGCTGACTGCAGCAAATTGTCTTGGGAAGATGCTCAAATCAGACACTCCATTAACAGCATCTATCTCAAATGTGTAATTTGTATGAGCCAGGAGGTCCACTACTGTCACTGTGGTGTTGGTGAGTCCAATCTGGCGTGGAAGGAATCTTACATTAGCACTGCAGGGGTCACACAGGTAGGCGGTTCCTCCACATTTCTTGCACACAATGTTAAAAGTGACATCCTTCCTGCCTCCGGTGTCCAAAGGCCAGCTCCAGTCTAGGATGACTGATGTTTCATTAATATTAGAGATAACATTTCTGGGAGCAGAAGGTGGTCCTGCAGAGTAAATGGAAAGAGGACAATCAGTCTTTATTCTAATTCTGCTAAGGCAAATAAGCTATTCAAGTAAGCATCTGGTAATATATTTGTCAATCCATATTTGGAGTTTTGACTTTTGCAGTTGTATTCTCTATAGTATAGGGATGGGAAACTGCAGTGATGTTAGGGGCCATCTCGGGAATCTGAAAGTATTTAGGGAATGGAGCTTATAAAAACTAAATCCTGTCATTTATGCAGCAATTAAATTTAAGCCAGGACTGGAGTGAGGGAGGAGGGCAGGTGGGACAAGATTCCAAACTGAAAAGTGAATGAAATAGAAGGAGGGATGGGAATACTGTAAATGTAAAATAGGACTGAAATGAGTGAAGAGAAAAAAAAACCAAGGAGATTGGAGTATATCTAAGTGGGAGCAAGATTTTCAGCTGGGACTGGAGTGAGTAAAATGGAAGGAAGAAGGATGAAAGCAAGGATGTGTCTTCACACACATCCTCATCTAGATATCTGATACCTACTTCAGCCCGCTGTTGTGACATAATTTATTAGGCTTATAATGTATTAATGTATTGTGTTTTTACTGGTATTTAGCTTATCTTTGGTTTAAGTTCTGTTGTTTATAAGTTATATTTAGTTTATTTTATTTCATGTTTTGTTATGATTATTGTTTATTTGCTCCTGGCATTTTTGTTATACTTGGAAACCACCCTGAGTCCCTCCGGTCTGGGGAGAAAGGGTGGGGTATAAAAAGATTATTATTATTATTATTATTATTATTATTATTATTATTATTAGTAGTAGTAGTAGTAGTATTTGAGAGAAACAAGTTTTTAAACTAGGGATGGACTGAGTAAAACATTTATTTATTTATCGTGTCGGGAGCGAACCAAGGGTACAATTGTGATGTATTTGAGAAAACACAAAGTTTAAAAACTTGTCATTCTATTAAATGTCCTTTAACCAGGAGCTGGCCACTTGGAGTACCTCTGGTGTTGCTATAAGAAGGTTCTCCATTGTGCATATGGCAGGGCTCAGGTTGTATTGTAATAGGTCGTCTGTGGTTTGCTCTTCTCCATACTCGCATGTTGTGGGCTCCACCTTGTAGCCCCATTTCAAGTTTTCAATCTTGTAATGCCAGAGCACAGTCTGTTCAGTGCCTTCCAAGTCACCCAGTCTTCTGTGTGCCCAGGAGAGAGTCTCTCATTTGGTATCAGCCACAGATTGAGGTGCTGGGTTTTAACCTGTCATTTTTGGATTCTCACTTGCTGAGGTGTTCCTGTGAGTATCTCGGTAGATCTTAGAAAACTTTCTTGATTTAAGGCATTGGCATGCTAGCTGATATCCAAACAGGAGATGGGCCAGAAATGTTGCTGCCTTGGTCCCTTCATTATTGGCTGCTACTTCTCGGAGGATGTCAGGTAGTGCAATACTGGCTAGACAGTGTAATTTCTCCAGTGGTGTAGGTTGCAGACAGCATGTGATAATTTGGCATGTCTCACAAAGAGCCACATCCACTGTTTTAGCATGGTGAGATGTATTCCACACTGGGCATGCATACTCAGCAGCAGAGTAGCAAAGCACAAGAGTAGATCTTCACTGTATCTGGTTGTGATCCGCAGGTCGTGCCAGTCAGCTTTCATATGATATTGTTTCTAGCACTACTTTTTGCTTTGTATTCAGGCAGTGCTTCTTGTAGGTCAGAGCACGGTCCAGGATAGCTCCCAGGTATTTGGATGTGCTGCAATGCTGCAGTGGGATTCCTTCGCAGGTAATCCTCAGAGCTCGAAATGCTTGCCTGTTCTTAAGATGAAAGCACTTGTTTGTGTTTTAGATGGATTAGGAATCAGTTTGGCCTGTAATAGGCAGCAAGAGCATCTAAAGCTTTGGATAGCTTCTGTTCAACTGTCTCAAAGCTCCCTGCTTGAGTGGTGATGGCACGATCGTCAGCATAGACGTAAAGCATATGATTGCTGCAGTAAGCTTGGGATCCTCCATGTCAAAGTGCAGCAAACATTATTACTGGTTTCAAGTAATGGAAGGGAGCCCCCAGTGGACATGAGAGAAGCCTTCCACAAAGATGGCAAAACATCAAAACATCCAGGCGTCCCCTAGGCAACATCCTTGCAGATGGCCAATTCTCTCACACCAGAAGCAACTTGGGAATTTCTCAAGTTGCTTCTGACATGAGAAAAAAAAGTACCGGAAGCCTTTCAACTTTGCAAGGAGGGCTCTGGAGGCTTGGTATTGAGCTTTGGGTTTAGGGAGTCTCATCTGACCTCACAGGTCACACTTTGCCTATGTTGGTAATAATTTTATGCTTATATAGCCTTTTGGTTTGAAAACCTCAGTGGGTCACACATAAAAAGAGACTGAAATACAAGCATAGTTTTTGATCAGTATGAGTCCACTCACTTGTGCAAGCCATCGACGGAGGGTCTCTCTCAGATCGGAAATAATTCTTTTCACATTTGCAGTTTGTAGAACCTTCAACATTTGTAGAACTATGAGGTGGGCATTTGGCACACTTGACATTACCAGCAGACGCTTTGTAAAAACCTGGTCGGCAAGCTGTAAAAGAAAAAAAGAAGGGAATTACTTACAATCTTTCATATAGACAAGGTTCTGTCTTTTTTTTTTTTTGCTGAAGACGAATAAAGGTCAAGGGCAGAATGCTCAACCATGTTTCTCTCTCTGGACTAGATAGTGGAATTCTGATTTGAAAGAATTTATGTCTTTTGAAGGATACACAGAATTCAGACTCCACATGGAAAGACTAAACATGCTGGGAAGAAATTACACTTTTATCTTTGGTCTTTGTGACTAAATGAGGACTTTTGTCACACAGTAGCTATCATTTAGGACTGAGTGAAACTTTAAGAAATATACGTGGTTCAATTCCATTGATTAATGCCTACATCATAGATCATTCGCAATCACACCAACAAATACAATATGTAAAAGAGGACCAATACAAACAATATAAAAGAGAAACCATATAAAACATCATGAAAGTACTGTATAAAACAACTGGTATGCACATCTTGCCTATTAAAATCCAATACTCAGAAATTACCTGTCCAAACCTATCTCCTCAAGTGATCCTACTAGAACTTTAAGATTGTCTGGAGAGGCTCTGCTCTCGGTCTCACTCTCTTCACAAGAAGAATTGGTGGGGATGAGAGACAGAGCCTTCTCAGTAGTGGTTCCTCGGCTGTGGAACACTCTCCCCAGTGACATCTGGTAGGCCTCATCCCTTCTATTTTTTTAGAAAAAAGTTGAAGACATGGATTTGCACACAACCATTTGAAGAATAAATGAGTACAGGTTTCGACACAGTTTGAATATGGATTATGAACAAGGATCTTGGACAAATGGAACTATACACTTTACATGTTTTAATCTGTTTACTGTTCTAATGTGTTTATTGACTAATTATTAACCATTTTAATGGACACAATATGTTATTGTTTTTACTGTTGATTTTACTGGTATTGAATTGTATCAAAGTTGTAAACTTCCTTGAGTCCCCTGAGGGGGAAAAAGGCGGGGTATAAATGAAATATATAAATAAATATACATTGTGTACAAAATTTTATTTCACATCTTCTATGGATGTTTGGTTTAATGCATCATTGTTTTCTTAAATCACTTGAAACACTCAAAGGAGCTCTGCAGGTGCAAGATCCCAAGCTCTTTTTCTGACATACCATTTGCTAGAGCTGCCTATGTTATTAGAAGTCTCTTCAAATTATGATCCAATGATTCTCAAAATTTGGTCATATGGGTTTTGGTATTTATCTCCCAGAGTCCTCCAAAATTAACCAAAGCAGCTGAGGTTTCTGGGAACTGAAGTCCAAACTATTTAGAGGACTAAGTTTAGGAATCACGGTGTTAATGAAAGCTTTAAAAGCTCTGTCCAGGGTGCTGAACCTATTTTGGAGATAGGAGCTCATCACCTTGGATATCTTATTTAAAATTTGGCTTAGAACTGTATTAGATTTGCTATCTCACAAACATGAAGCTAACAGTAATCATTAAATCTCTAGGTTAGTATATGCTTACACGCGTTAATTCCAGGGTTTACTTTTTTGGATTTTTCTTTAAAAATTCAAGCCATGAATGTCTGAATCCTTGGACACAGGATCTGTGGACAATTTAATAAATAAAGGGGAATGAAACTAAGGAGACTAGGCAGCTCACAGACCTCACCTAATGAAGACAAGACAAACTGAAGCAGAACATTGGAAACGACATCACACGATAAAGCCAGATTAGCCTGTTTATGGTCTTGAGAGGCAAAATCTTTACAGTGCCTTTGTGTTTCCTGCATGGCTCAGCTACAATATTGTGCAGATAGCAGTTGTGAGGGAAATGAGCTAGTTAGAACCCTGCTGTCCCAGCATGCCCTAGTGGGAGGATTCTGATTTGTATCTCCTCCTCAGGCTATTTTGCACTTCTTTCTCTGCATGTCAAGTGAATGTAAAATTATTCAGTGCTACAGCCCTCAGGTTAAAAATAAAATAGAATAAAGAAGGTAATTATATTGTCAGGTAAAACCTGGAGAGGATGGTCACACCATCTTTATTTCTTTGATATAGAATTGGATGGGAAAATAGAACAGCAACCTGTATATCAAATAATGTTTCATAAGTGGGGAGAGTGAATTTTCTTTATTTATTGCGTTAGTAAATTGTTTGCTGAGGACCTTGCTCAGATGGGGAATCCTTTTAGTATCAAGACAAGAAGTGAGAATCCAAACATTGCCTTAATTTTGTTTTGTTTTACTTTAAAAAGAAAATTATGTAGATTCATAATGTAGCTCATACAATTGTAATGTTCAAAATAGGAAGTGGGATAATACCAGCACAGGGATAGATATCCACAAAGCAAGGGTGGGAATCACGTGGGTCTCGGGGTATTGTTGGGCTGCAAGTCCCAGCAACTCAAGCCAGCCACCATTGAGGAATGGGTGCTGGCTGGGTATTTAATTCACACTCCTACAGTAAGTCTATAGATGAAACTATTATATTACTTAAAATATCACTTGTATAATATATGATACAATTAACATAACATGAGTGGAATTTATTGACAAAGTTTTTCCTGTCATTTTATTCCCATGCGCTTTTGGCCACAAACTTGTTTCATCATGTTGAGTGATAGTCAGATAGTCTCTTGCCCCATACACACACAGGTACACACACACAAGCACAAAGCAGCCTCCAGCTGTGCTTTGATTGCAGCTCCTGCCTTTGGCTGTTATGGCTATTGGCCAACAGTACAAATGCCCAGGGAAATGTTACAAGTGCTTAGCAGTCCTTCAAAAATACACTTATGTCACTGATCTATCTATCTATCTGTATCTATCTATCATCTATCTATCTATCTATCTATCTATCTATCTATCTATCTATCACAGTTAATAGAACTAAATAAGTTTTTGCTACCTGTGCTTATGCAAAAGCTCTTTTGTTGGGTAAGACTGGAAAAAAAACCCAGTGTTATTATATCCCACTGAGTAGGATATCGTGATGGGATGAGACCTTAAACTGAGCAGGAAGGTAAACAGGCAACAAACAATAATTTTGGCCAGAACACAGCATTTCAGTCCAAAGTACTCCTGGTACCAGTATTTTATAGAACTTCAGGGTTATGTAGACAACAACAAAGTGTGCATAAACAAAACTGTTTTTCTGTATCTAATGCATATGTGGCAATCTTTATCTGAGTTCTATGTTACCAGCACAGCACGCAGCTGGAGCTTGTGTGTTTACTAAGACATATAATATTGCAGTTATAGCATTTCTAGCACAGCAGAAATGACATAGCTCAGCAAGCAATACAGGCCATGAGGAGATGTCAGCTATTGCCAAGGTGGAGTTGATCAGGCTCACTAAAACAGATCAGATTACAGTTAACTTTAATTCTTTTCTTTTCTTTTTTTTTTGCCAACACTTCTGTAATAATCTTCCTGTACTCTTTGTTTTATCAACAGGAATGTTTGACTAGAGGCAGGTTCGAATCTGGGGAGAGTGTAGATGAGCTCCCTATTACAATTACTTTCATAGCATTCATTTAATTCACGACTGCAGTTAAAAAAAACCCAAAGAATATTTCTGAGTCTTACTCAGGGAGGGGACAGCATGTTGAGCTATTTCCTCATATTCTTCTTCTGTATATGTGTGCCTTCATTTCAACTTCCATTTCATACCTATAAAGCCCTATATGCTTCAGGTCCAATCTATCTTCGAAAGCACATCTCTTTCTATGAACTGGCACGGGCATGGGCAATATAAATCTTCTGCTTTACCTTGTTTTAAAAGGTTCCATATATTTTCTCCTTTCAAAAAGATGATTGGACACATATACCTACATTCTGTCCTGCTTTAGGATTTAATAGGACATATCCTAGAGCTATTTATATACATTGGGTCCATCCTATCTTTGGGACCACATTTCCTTCTATGAACCAGCACAGGTTTTAAGATCTACTGGGGAGGCCCTACTCTCAGTCTCCCAAGGGAGATCAGACTAGCTCCTACTCTTCAAGCCTTCTGTTCACAACTAAAGACAGGTTTTCTTCAACAAGCCTTTGATCATATTTAGATTCCTTTAATGAATATATGTGAGGAGATATATTTTATCAAGCACTTTACAAGACTGAGTGAATACTGTTGTTTTTATCTGCAGCTATCACTGTATTTTATTGATTTTAACTACTGGGCATTGTTTATTCTTTGTCAATTTGACTCTCAATTTTTTCCAGGAACTATCCATGGAGAATCTTCTTTCACCAGTTTTCTCTTCTGGTCTGGATTGTGTTTTTATGGTATTATTCACTCTTTATCTTTTGAACTTGAAGCAGTTTACTACTATTGACTTCCCTCAATGTTGGTTCTTGACTGCCTTTCACATAATCTGCCAGTGCATGTTTCTCTTCTTCTACTGTTTCTTTCACTTGCAGAAGCCCTCTGCCTCCTGATTTTCTGGGCAGGTAAAGTCTGTCGACATCACTACATGGGTGTAATGCATAATAGATTGTCATCAGTTTTCTTGTTTTTCTGTCCAGATCATCCAGCTCTGCTTGCATCTAGTTCACAATTCCAGCAGTGTATCTAATGACGGGGATGGCCCAGGTGTTGATAGCCTTGATCGTATTTCCACCATTTAATTTGCTCTTCAAAACCTTTCTGACTCTTTCAATAGATTCTTTGTTGACCACCCTTTTCACATGCCTATGCTTAATATTGTCCAACTTTAGTATGCCCAGATATTTATAGGCTTCAGGCTGATTGCATTTTATGATTTGTCCATTTGGCATCTCTATGCCCTTGCTATGGGTAATTTTCCCTTTCTTTAATGCCACTGTGGCACATTTGTCTAGGCCGAACTCCATACTAATGTCAGTACTGAAAATTCTGACTGTGATGACTGGATTTCTGTTTCTGATTTTCCATAAAGCTTTAGATCATCCATGTACAGCAAGTGGGAAATTTTTGGTGAATTTCTTGCTGTTTGGTAGCCGAGGTTTGTTTTTGGTAGAATTACTGACAGAGGGATCATTGCAA